TTTGCTCCTCAGTATAAAGTTGAAGAAACTGGATGGTTAATTGTGGTTTAACCTTTATCGTCAGAACACGACACCTATACTTGAACAGAGGAACATTTCTCAATCATGAGCACAGTGCACAGTGCTGGAAAATGCTGAGATGACAGTTTGCTGCTGGGGAGTCACACTTACAGTCCTGGTGCTTGCTGAGGGTCCACTAACACTTGTTTGGGAAGTTCAATCAATTGTTTCCTCCTGTGGTGTTGTCCTTTTTATCCTCACATATCCTCTGGTGTAAAAGTATGTTTAATTAAATTTATATTGCAGATTTATTCATTGACTTGACAACATCTGGATTCATTCATTTATTGAACTTTAACACTCGTTAAACTTTAATATTCTGAACACTTTGAGAAACCAGCAATAAGGAAAATCCATCCATCCATTATCTATACCGCTTTTTCTGTTTGTGGTCGCGGGGGGGCTGGAGGCGATCCCACCAGTCATTGGGTGAGACTGTTAGCCAGTCACACTCACATTCACACCGACGGGACATTTTACATTCATACATGGAAATAAATACAGTAAGTAAAAAAAATAGATACATATTAAATGAATAGATACAAATAAATTACCAAAATGTTTAAGGTAGTGGTATTGTACTCTTGTGTCCAAAATATAACAACAAACTCTTTGAAACTTTTAGCACACGTGATAAAACCTGTGGACAAAAGAGACAACGCGGCACAGTAATCGTTTAATCACGAGTATCTTGTTTTCATGATGGTTTAAAAAAAGGACTGAAGATCTGAAGGATTCTTTCTTTTAAAGCTTGTGGCTACTTTTGGATATTTATTCAGGGATGGGTCATGATTTACAAATATTCGATTAGTCATCATTACTGTAGTTTAAAGTGAACAATCACATTGGAACATGAGTTTCTTTTTTTTGTTGTTCACTTTTGTTTTTAAGTGCATCGACTAGTACAGTCTGAAGCAGCAGCAGCATGGCAGGCTCTCACATGAACAGAACTAACAGATGACGCAGAGAATGAGGATACACTAATGCAGAGAGTGACAGATTGAGGCAGAGCAAGCCGACACATTGACGTGTCAATCAGAAAGTTTTCTTACAGTAACAAATGTTTATTTTCACTCCGATTGTCATGGATGCTTAATGATACATTACATTTTGATATTACATATTCATTCTTAATACTTTAAGTCAAGATTCCTGAGGTTTAGAGGCTATCAGCTCATACTCATCCCCTGCTCACATAAACCAGTCTGTGGTTACTTATCGACAAACACAAGCAGTTATTGAGCACAACTATGTGACCGCACACTTCATGAATCATTAATATGTTACATCGCTCCTAAAGGCATGTAGTTTATTGAATCTTATATTTCACATTGTATGTATTTAATATTATCCTATCATTTTCTTTTGATTTCCTCTTTTTTTGTTTAACATTTAATCCACTACAGGTCTAACCAACAACAGAAGTTCTAACACTAGATAGAAAACACTTACTATCTCGACTGTCAGTTCATGATATATTAGAGAAACCTAGAAATATGCATTCACCTGGACTTTTACTTGTACCGTGAAACGGTGATCCCAAAACTGAGGTACAAACCGAACTGTGACCTCTGTGAGTCGTTAGACCCCTATAAAAGTACAACTGTAACAATGTAAATGTTTAAAATAAGGTTGTGATGGACCTCAGGTCAGCAGCTAGTTTGCTCCACAGAGAAGGACCACAGTAACTAAAGGACCCCCTCTCCGGACTTTGATCTAATTCTGGGTATGGCTAAAAGACCTCCACCTGATGACCTGAGGGTCCGGCTCGGGTTGTAATATGTGAGCAGGTCAGAAATGTACTCAGGAGCTGAACCATTGAGTGCTTTATGGACTAATAATATGATTTAGTGGTAGACAGTAGTCTGTAAGCATCTTGAATAAATTAGAAATGTTGTGATTAAAAAACAAAAGAAAACATTCATTATTTTAAAACTTGTCTCTTGAAATTCAAAAGTCAAAATTCAAAAGTCTAACTTATTTGTCGTCACACCTGCCTCGTTCATACTGGACATTCATTATTTCATAAAACACGTTTTATCCCATAAATATAGTTTGATTAGTTCATTCTGTTGTGTTTAGGTCCAGTATGTTTTCGGCCCCACAGACGGAGCAAACAGATTGAAGTGTGGAGGACGGTAGAGGTGTCAGGTGTGACTCTGCAGCAAACAGGGCTGTGGATTTTTTTCTTCTTTCTCTTTAAAAGCATGGTATTTTTCTGCCATCTGACTTTTATTTAATTTCTGCTGCGAAGGGTGAAGCTGGTTCCTGTGTGTCTGCTCAGGTTTATGGGAACTGTGGATATATTTAGCATTTCTTTGTCCTGGAGTGGACTAAACGAAGGGCTGAGGAAGGCTACTGTGAATGAAAAACAGGCAGACTAACACGGTTCCACAGTGCAGTGTGTACTTTCATGCAGAGCTGTGTCCCTCAGACTCCAGTATATGGGCCGAGCTACGTTCGCCAGCTGCAGACGCTGATCATCAAACTTCAGCCAGGAAAACAAATGAACATATTTTCCAAAATGTGGAACTTTTCCTTCAGTGGAAGATTTTGCCATTTCAGCTGAGCTGAGGCTGACTTTGCAATGACTAGGACAAGACGGATGTGCTCTATCTGTAACATTAAGGCGCAAAGTGAAACTTCTGTGTGGCGTTATTTCAGACGCTATATTGAAAGTCAACCCAAAAATACATTTACACAAGTTCAAATTCTCAACTCTAACAAGAAATGATGTGATGATATTTCACGTAATGATTCATGGAATAACACAAGGCAAATGTTCCAATGTAAAATAACAAGCTAAGGCAATTTAAGATTCATAACAGAATATACAATACCCCAACACTACTGTGTCAAATGGGCATTAGGACTGATAGTAATTGTATTAAATGTAGTTCTGATGAAGGAACCGCACTTCATCTGCTGTGGGACTGCTGCAAAGTGAAAGATTTGGTCTGGGATCACAAACAAGTTATGACCCGTACTGACTAAGTTATTCCACTCACTCCACAAACATGTTTACTACGACTACTACCATAAAATCCGGTGTATAAGACGCACTTTTAGTACCTATTTTTTCGTGTTAAAAGTTGGCTGCGTCTTATACACCGGTGCAACCAATATACCAGTATAAAATACTGAAACACGCGCCGTCATTACAGCAGGGCAGCAGCCCCTATCACTGCGACCTGACATGATTAAAAACCTGTCCCCATTCATTGTGTATCGAAAGCTGAGTGCACGCTGTGCTGGGAAAGACGGCGACACAGACCAGGCTGGCTGCGCAAATCTTTCCACATTTTTTCTCCCTCACAAGGTCATTCAACAGACGGAACTTAAAGAGCGACACAGCTGTACAGAAACTGCACGTTGTAGACATCGCTTAACACAATATAAATCCTCCTGCAGGAAAACAGTTTAAAGTTTTTTTTCGCTCTAGTGGTTTATCTTCAAAGAATAACCAGACCACTATGGATGGTCACAAAAAACAGTAATTATGCCTGATTGTTGAGTTTAATGCACCGACTCTTAAAGAATGGATCATAGAGGCAATGGAAATAATCCGGTTGCAAAAAGTAGCTTTCAGGCTGCAAAGTAATGAGGAAGAAAACATGAAAACATTGGGAACCAGTGGAAAACGACTCCTCATCACTTTAGATTTAAACGTACAATATGTAGAATATTTACATAAAAACATATAAGTTAATAAAAAAATAGACAAAACTTATGTTATATATTTTCTTATGTTACCTAAAATATTTCCAACAGTATCTATGCCAGATAAAATCCGTAATGTGATAGTTGTATAACGAGGCGTGTCTTGTCATTGCCGCCGCCATGATAGAGCTGCCAAGACAGACACGACATGTTGTATGTTGCCATGGAAACACCTGCTGTTAGTCAACTACCGCTTCATAAGGAAGCAGGAATCGCTACTGACAGCTGCCATACTGTTGCTGTATGTACTGCTGTGATTAAGAGTCATGTGAATTATAATGAAATACTAAATAAGTCTTAGATTTCTTGATCTTTCAAATGATTGTTGACCTTTTCTTCTTCCCTGTTTTCTTTTTTTCTGTTCCTGCCTCTACTGATGTGTAAAACACACATTTAGTCGTCTTTAGGTGATAAATATACGGGGATATTGTTTGAGGAGAACATTGTTGGGTGGGGGTTATTTGGATTTGTTGATTGTTTAGAGAACTTCCAGAAAGGGAAGTCCCATTTTATGTCAGAGATGTTCATCTATTCTCTTTTTGTCTGTCTGAAAATTTTTACAAAAAAAAACATATTGGAGCCTGATTCAATGGCTTAAGATGGCACATTAAGATTAAAAAATGAAAACTCAAACAGTAGTTGTGCTTTTTGCATGTTGGTCAAATTCTTGTGGCGTTGAGATACTTTTGACATCCTGACTTTGCATCTAAAACATTGGATCAAAAACTCCATCCCAAAAAACATATTTTAAAGTTGTTTGCATGTCTCATCTAGACAAATCTTGAACTCCGACTTCTGAACAACCTGCAACATGATGTCGTTATTACAGCATCCTGAAGAGTAGAATGGATGAGCAGTCAAGTCTGATCCGAGCTAACAGGTCATCAAACTGGGTAGCTGGAAGCAGCAGGAAAGTTCAGCTAAGAGAGAGTCCACGTAATGATATGAAAACAGACAGGATAGGGTTTGGTTTTCTAATGTTACGAAAGGTTGATTATTTACAGGATGTGTCTAACTAAAGTGAATTTTCACAGATGATATCTATCGTCTTGTGTGAAACATAGCGGGAATAGACTTGGCTTCTGTTCTGAAATCATGCCAACATAAGCTACAGGCAGTAGAAGGTGAATTATGAAATGATGAAAACAAACAGGACATAAAGCAGATGTAGGTCATACTGTGGTGACTGACCTGTGTGTGTGTTGTGTTGTTTGTTGCAGCTTACAGGAGGTGTGATCCTGGGCGTGGCCCTGTGGCTGAGACACGACCCAAAGACCAGCAACCTGCTGGAGCTGAACTTTGATGGAGCCCAAGCCCCCAGCACCTTCTACATCAGTAAGTGTCTCACCTGTAACACCTGTCTGTCTCTCACCTATGGACCCTAGAACAGGGGTCGACATTAAGTTAATCTGACCACTGGCCTTTAAAGATCACTGGCCCCACCCTTAACCACCAGCCCAGGAACAATACCTTTAATTTCCGTGAAGAGCTACCTTATCTTTTCTGCACTCCTCCAGTGTTTGTGCTTTCTTTAAATGTTCATTTTTGCCCAGATTTTCTCTGGGAACTGGTAGTTTTTAAAAAACGCTTTAAACACTAGTTTATGAGAGAAACTTCGAGCTACAATTTGTACAATCCGAGTGTTGTATGCAGCTGCCTTTCAACTATTGCACACATGTGCAAGCAAGCACTTTTGAAATGTTGATGCCCTAGCAGTAATTAATGAGATGTTGTTGTTAATTATCAAATATTGCAGGCAAACACCTGTATGCTTAATTGCACAAACATTGGCAATGTTTCCGTACAAAAGGTTGTCATTGTATTTGTGCAATCTAGACAGTGCTCTCTCTCTCTCTGTGTTTTTGTGTTTTCATACCTTTGATCATTTAAATAGAGAAAGTATCATTTTGAAACACATGGTATATATAAGTATTTCAATCTCTAAAATATTGAGCTGTCAGTTTCAGAACACAGTGTGGTTTCATCGTGGTCCTTTTAGAACCTCAGTGGCACAGAGATAATGTTTGTGAAGAGCAGAGTGGATGTTGAAACATGTATTGACGTCTGACTCTTTATGGCGATGGGATCACCCTGAAGACTCACAGTTAACAATGAACAGGCAGTAAGAGCATCTGTTCAGTGTATGGATGTTACATTTATTATTGATGAGTTAAAAGGAAAAAGGTGACTTTTGAAGACCTTATTAATAGTTAATTATTCTTTCTTTCTTATGATAATGGTTATTACAGAGGACACTTCTGCTGTTGGCTGGGTTTCCTCTTGGGTTTGTTAACCCTTTGATTTCTGCAGAATAATGACTCATCCACTGAGTCTTTATTTAGAATACTGCTTATTTTGATGCAGGGGTGTGTGCAGGCTTTTTTGGACTGGGGTGGCCCAACAGGGACACTGGCTTGTAAAGAGGTCGCATTCATGTGCGCACACAAAAATAAATATGCAAAAATGTCTGTCTCCACTTATCATGTTGACTTTTAAGTGAAGAAAATGGCAGCATATACATCTTACAGCTTACTTCTTAAGGACTCAAAAAGAAGATATCCAAGTTACAATTTAAAGTACTTAAAAAATGCATGGTATCTTATTTGTAATTAGTTGGTTGTAAGTCAGACAGTGTCTATGAGTTTGCATGCATCTTTTCACCATTTAAAGTACTAACGTGAGAAAATATGCAACATTTAAAGAAAACTACTCCAGGCCTCTAGCAACACCACCAGAGTAGTTTATTTTTTAACTTAAGTCCCGCCTCTGTCAAGCTAAATAGCCAATCATGGTTTAGGATTTTGGGGTGGCACCTTGGTTGGCTAATGAAACTTCAAGGGGGGGCCCATGCCGCCCCTCCTCTGGTCACGCTCTTGTTGTAAGTTCATTCAGAGTAGCTTCAAATACTTCACATTTATAGAACCTATTCTGAGCAGCTTAAACACTTTGGAATTCAATTAGGCATAAGAAATGATCAAAGTGTGTCATACATACAAAGAACAAAAACTACCAGTCGTTTAATACATTTAGCTGATTCAACATACACTTCAAAACAAATCTGAGATGTAGAAACATGTTCCAAATATTGATTTACACTCCAGAAGTTTTGAACAATTTCCAATAACCACACATTGCTAGAGAGTGATGTAACAGCTGTTTGTGGTTAGTATAATCATCCTCCACCTGAGAACTCACACTGTAAGAGTTCAATCTGAACCAAATATCAATAAAGTTTCATTTGAAAACTCCCACAGACAGAAGTAAAAGACAGATCTATGTGTTTCAGTTTCAGTCTCATACACACAGCTTAAATACACACACACACACACACACACACACACACACACACACACACACACACACTGTACACTAAACACCACCGCCACAAAAACTCACTGTGTTAGCTTGGCCTACACTTAGAAAAACAATCTGAGCGTGTCTGTGACAACAACAACTTGTAGTGATCAAGGATATTGTTGAATAAAAAAACCTAGGTTTAAAAAATAGGATTCATATTTCAGCTGACTTAGAGTACAGGAGAGGTTGTACAGAGCAGACCCCCCCTCACCTGGGCGTGAAAATATGAATGTGGTGTGAAGCAGGGCGGCTCCTGGATCTTTGGGACTAAAAGAGGACACACAGCTCATCATGTGACTCAACAACCACATGAAGTTATCTGCTGTCACCTCCCCACACAAACCCCCGTCACCGCTGAGTCATCTGCCCGAGAGTAAGAGGAGCAACAAAGGAGAGAGGAGAGAAGGACATGTAGAATAATAGACAGAGGAGAGAAAGAGAGCGAGCGAGCAGCATATCTGTGATCGTTCAGCCGTCAGAGAGGAACTACTTTCTCTAACCGCCCATGATTGCATCCTTGCGTTACGTAAACCTCCCTCCATTCCACACGAGGAAGGAAAAAGCCTCGTCGGTTTAGGAAAGAATTCCTCACTGACCGTCCCTCCTCCTCCTCCTCTCTGGCGTCCCCGCCCCTCCTCTTTCACTCCCTGTGAAAGTTTCCCTCTCCTTCTCTCCGCTCGCGCTCTTTCCACTCTCCCTCCCCCTCACTTCCCCATCTGGTTGTGGTTAGTGTTCCAGTCGTACTGTCTCACTCACTCACCCTTATTTTCCTCCCCTCCCTCCACTTTTTCTCCTCCCCCTCCTCCTTCCAGGAACTTTCTCAGTTCTGACCTCTACATCTGCTCCTTTCTCTCACCCCTCAACCCACTCAAACACTTCCCATCACGGCCCAGTTTGAGATAAAGTTTTTCCACTTGCGTCAATCGATAATCAGCTCAGTCATGTTTTACTGCAAAACAGCGTGAAGATTTAAAAGGATAATATCCTTCATAGTGACTTCTCACTTCTTGTTTTTTTGGTTTGCCCTGTAGTTACCTCAACAGTCACTTCCTTATTTTTTAATGAAGCAATTACAGCTTTAATGCGGAAATAAGATTCTGTCAACAGCATGGTGGTTAGAAGGAGAGGACACCATGAATGTGAGTACAACCAAATCACACCAAACCTCAGTCGCTTTTTTTAAACTTGAAGTAGCATGTTTGTTCCAATACAGCACAAGCTGCTAATAAAGGAAAACTTTTCCATGAACAGCGCTGTAAGATCGCGGGCCTAATACTAAGAAGTGAGTGTAACACAGCCAGGCTATCTTTCAGTTACCTGGCTTCTATAACACTGATATAAGAGACCACACTGAACGATTACATTAAGCTGGTTATCAACTCAACAAGTCAACACAGAGTTTCTGCAGGAAAGGGGCGGAGTTAGCTTAATATAACCATCACAATCATGAGCATGTCTGCTGCCAGCAGATCGTCATACATAACAGGCTCTGAGAAAACTATAGCCTATCAAAAAACACAAAGGCTACTACAGACTAACATCACGCAGCTGCAGCAAAAAGAAGAAAACTCACCAGGTGTGAATACACTGTTTAAGTCTTATTATCTCACGTTGTCATCGTCAGTTCACCTTAGCTCTAACTATAATTACTCTTGATTCTTCCCTTAAATACATTTGGTGCTGAGATGTATGACAGTTTTAGACGTTATAAGCTGCAGCACCGACGGTGACAATCAGAGCGGTATGGAGCCAAAGAATCTATTGATATGTAAAGTGTTTGTCGGTCTCTCTCTCTCCTCCCCTCTCTCAATCAGCTCAAAGAGGTCCACAATCAAGAGATGTGACGGCTTTGGCAACATAAGAATGCGCAGAAAATAACAATTACAAAATACTTATATATTAAGCTTTTGAAACTCAGGTCATTTTGTAGGTTTCAACATTGGAGTCAGTTTTGTTTGATGTGTTTAGAAAACTGGATAAAAACAGTCTGATTTTTGTATTTGTTTCATTCACTTTCATCAGTAGCTTGTACAGCTTAGAGGGATATTAAAGCATTTTAAATTACTTCAAAAAAGAACATCACAAGGAGAACCTTTTCAATGGTGACAGTAAGGGTGTCAAAATGTTTCCAATACCACATGATGATCACTGATTATTTTATTGATCGACACAGTATCAAAAAGTCACAAGTCTTCAGTCACTCCAGCTCTTCAGTTATTCTTTTTCAACCACGAGCTGCTGTGACAACAAAAAGAAAGGGTTGTCTAAATGGAAAATATTCTGGTATAGAAACGTTTCCAGTATGTATAATAATTTGTGCAATTTCTTTAGTATTTAAAAAGAATAAATTAAACAATATTTGGTGTCTTGTACTTGCATTTTTGTTGCCGTGGTATGTAAACAGGAATCTGTATCTGTAAATTTCATCACAGGTTACAGAATTTCTCTGTAGTGGAGTTACACTGACTTCCACTCTGCAAAATGGTTTCTGAGTAAGCCAATCCATCAAACACTCTGATATTTCATATTTTTATGAATCAATAATTCAGAAAAAGAGTGAGGGAAGGCACATCTCTGTTGAGGCACAGAGATGCTCATCAAGCTTTGTTGATTTTCTGTCTCACTCTGTGGTTCTAAGATGAGTTAAGGTGTGTGCGAGCATGTAAAAAGTCCAATCAGCAACGTTAACACCAGTACTGGTTTGGTTACGTCTGCCATTATCATTAAAACCGGATGTTTTAATGTTGTTTCAGTGTCTGACTTCCCGTCCCGTTTGTTCTTTTCTGTGCTAAATTAATGCCTAGTGCTCCGGCCGGCTCCGGCACGGTTGCACCGTAGGCTAGATCCCGTTGTTAAGGTTACAGAACACTCGCGCATGAGCGCTCAAAAGGTATATTAATACTATGCTGTATTGATTTTCTCCTCCACCTCTAGTATGGACTAGGCAGAAGTCTGTAATCTTTGTCCCAAGTGGTCGT